TTATGAAGAAACCAAAGCTTAGAGGGTTCCATAACTGGGTCGTCCAGACAGTGTGTGATTGATTGTACCATCCAACAGGTATTACATTATTTTGCCAATTCATGACCATATGGGGTTCATAACCAGTAGCTCCAGTAACCAAATGGACAATGGACTAACACTGTGAAGAGTTACAAATTGTCTAAAGTTGTGGTCAAAGTAGATGTAGCTATACCTGTATTTTCTGTTCTCTGTGCTTCGTATTGTACATATAACTAGTACATAATTGAGCCAAGATCTGATCCCAGGCCTGCATGATTCTAAAGGTCATATTTTTCCTCTTATTTTTGGAGGTGAAAGATCATTAAGATCCTACTGAGTCATCAGTAGTAAAAATTACATTCAGCATTATTTCTGAGTGTTATATTTCAAAAAGTGGTATCTGATGTACGGCATATATCACTTCACAGTTAACCAGAATGTTCAGTAACTCGAGAGTCACATAGGTACTTTTACCTTGTAATTTAGTCTTTTCACGAACCAACCATATTGTTTTTAAAATTCCTGCTTGATTTCTCCCTATACCAGTGTCTTATCCCTCCTTAGTGAACTTTTGTTGCTGTATTTAATGAGCAGAATCTTTTATGTGGAACAGTATTACTTTTAACTTTGAAACTGTAATCTTAGTTGGAAGCATCTGACAATGGTTTTAAAATACACAGTTTGGATTGGATGTTGAATATATTTGGAGGGGGGCATCATCCGTGTATTATGTGTGCACACATACTGTATTAAAGTAGATTAAGATTTTGGAAGACATGCTGTAAATTTAGAAAGATTTATATGAAGCAGTGAACAATATGTTGACTGAGCTATTGTGTATAGGAAAGTAGTAATAAATAATAGTAGTAATAAACTAAGTTTCTTCCTAATTTTCTGTTAGCAATTATTGGAAAAAGTTCATTTCATGACGGTGGAATGCCTTATTTTAGAGGCTGCAGACTGTCCCGTTGGCCAGATCCATCTTGTTTTTGTATGACATGTAAGCTGTGGCTTTACAACATTCTTAAAGGTTGGTTTACAGACAAATTGAAATACGTGTGGCTGCAAAGCTTAAAGTATTTGCTCTCTAGCCTTGTACAGAAAAAAGTAGTAGTTGACCCCTCCCTTAATTGTACCTTTCTGCCTGGCTGGAAAAAGTGGATAATGAAATAGTTTAATCAGGTAGATGCTATCTGTGTATGTAGGTAGACACCAATGGATGCTGCAGTATTAACACAAAAGTAACTAGCCTAAGAAAGAAGCTCAAGTTTTACTTCTGTAAAAACATCCATTTTATAGTGCTGTAGAATTCTCAATACTATGTGGAATATTTGCGGAAGTAGTGGCATAGTTAGGACCTCAATACTCTCGATGCTTTAATAAGGTTTTAAATAAATTATCAGTGCTTTAGAAGTGTTTATTCATAAAGTTAGCATATTGTCCTGTTACATTCTATATAGTAAGTGGATATCTTGAAGTTTTAAGCCCCTTGTGCCTTCTTATAGTTAGCTTATTAAGGTAGGTGTCCTTGCTAATTTGAATCACTGTAGATATTTCTAAAGATAATTACCTATCCTGTCTATCCTGTCCGTCCATCCGTCTATCCATCCACTCACTTACCCACCCATCCACCCACCCATCCGTCCGTCCGTCCGTCCGTCCATCCAACTTTGAGTGAGAGTCACTAAGTTGCCCAGTCTGTGCTTGAACTTGGAACCCTCCCTCAACCTTCCAGAGTGCTGAGATTAAATGAGAGCACCACACCTCACTTAAACATTTGCTTAAAGAATAAACTTACTTGTTTAATAGTATTCTTACTGTCACAGCACTCTGAATATTGTAGTAATACAAGCTGAAGAGCAGGTGTGTAGACACGTAAATGCAACATATGTATTTCACAAATTTAAAAAATGCTCCTGTACTTCAAAGGATCATGTAGTGTCTATGTCTTTGAAGATTTTGATCATCTCTATTCCTTTAATGGATGAAACTTCTGAAAGGAAAAACATGCAAAGTTCTTTTTAAAGAAATCTGTAGTAGTAAGTAACATTGCAATGAAGAGTAAAAACAGTAATGTTGTCTCCAGCTCCATGGATAACCCATATTAATCTTGCTTTGTAGATTTTCAAAGTTCTGTATGGCTTGTGCTTTATCCAATCCCGATCCATGCATTGTAGCCAAAAGTCTCTCTTGATGCTCCTTCATCTTTATAAATTCAGTTTTTTCTTCTCTTTTTAAAGTAAGTGTGAATTCTGTTTGATTCTTGGTTATACACACAGTTAAAATCATGTGACCTTATTTGTGTGATTTTATTGGATATTTTAAAGAAGTATTTGGTAGGCATGGTGGTACAGTACTGTGCACGCCTGTAATCCCAGCACCTAGGAAGCCGAAACAGAAAGATTAGGAGTTCAGGGCCAGCCTGGGCTACATAGTGAGTTCACCCCCAGTCTGGACCACCTAGCGAGACCCTGTCTCAAAACAAGCAAACAGAAGTTACCTTTTCTTAGTTCTTTCCTGGCTCTTGCTCATCTTAGTGCACAGCTTTTGTAACTATGAGTGTGTCTGAATGAATGTTGTGGTTTTTAAGCAGCTGTTTAGTTTTCATGATCATTCTGAGTTCGTAAATCCATCGAAACATCCTCATACAAACCATTGTCTATTACAGATTTTCTTGACATGTCTAAGTGTAGTAATGAGCGGACACACTCAAATAAATGACTGAGTGATGGATGGCCTGCAGTTGCCTTAACCACCTCAGAAATCCTGGTAGTTCTCTCATCTGAGTAGTGATGCCTAGAAGGTTACCTCTGCTTTGTAAAACTTTTTATTACATTTGTAAATTTGATTATTAAAGTAACAACCAGTTTCCTATTAGGAAGTAAAGTATGCTGATCAGATGAAAACTTTACAGTTTCCAGTGCTGAGGGATCTTTTGATAATATGTGGTAACCCCTCTGACACAATTATTTTTAAAAAGATTTTTAAAAGTCTTCTATTTTAAAAACACTATATACTTTGAAAAGTACATAAAAACATACTTTCTTACAGACTATAAGCTCATTAGCACAGAAAATTTTGATGAATGCTCTACTTCCAATTTCTAGTATACTACCTGGCACATAGTGGACCCTCAATAAATACTGGTTGAAAGAAAAAAACTTAAGGATGTTTACAACAGTATTACGTCAAGTATTTTTTAATTAGCTAGAGAATAAGAAAAACAATAAAAGATTGGGATGGGGTGTAATTCAGTGGCAGATCATTTTGCCTAGCATGCATGATGCCCTGGGTTTCCTGCCCAGCACCCCACCCCATACCCAGATAAACTGTTCATCAGTAAGGAATTGATTAAATTATAGAATAACCATACATTAGAATGCTAGTCAGTGAAAAAAGTTACTAGTTTTTCCATGTGTGCTGATACTGACACAATCCTTTTGTCCCATGAAAAGAACAGGTACAGTAATAATACAGTATGTTTATATAATATGATGCTACTTTTGCTTTTAGTATTTTGAATTACAAAACTACTCACCCGGGCTGGGGATTTAGCTCAGCGGCAAAGCGCCTGCCTGGCAAGCGCAAGGTCGTGAGTTCGGTTCCCAGTACCGGAGAAAAACCAAAAAAAAAACAAAAAAAAACAAAAAAAAACAAAACTACTCACCCATACATAGCAGTTCCTAAGCACTTAGTTTTCTGAGGACCTTAAATGGCTTTTGTTTATAGATGATATGAATATATGTGTTTATATATTAATATCCTAAAAATTCTACTGTGGCAAATATGTAAGTTATATAAATATATCATGTTAGAAATTAACACAAACTTTTTCATTTAATTTAGAGTAATAATGAACATACTATATGTTAACATAATTTTATGAAAAGTAATTCTGTTTTCAAAACTACAATTTATTGAAGAGTGTAGCATTGTTTTGCATTTTGCAGATATCAGTGTCTAGCAAAATAAAATGTAACTTGATTCTTCTCTACTTCTGCATTCACTATGTTGTGATGTTTCGGTTAAAAATCCAGGCCCATATCAATATATAGTCAAAACAGGCACATTTAATGATCTTTTCAAGTAACTGTAGGTATTTTTGATATTGCATCAAATCTCTACAAGTAGTTTCTTTTTTTTTTCCTCTGGTACTGGGAATCGAACTCACAACCTTGCACTTGCCAGGCAGGTGTTGTGCCTCCGAGCTAAATCCCCAACCCCTATAAGTAGTTTCTTAAAGATAGCTGCAATTTGGAATCTGAAACTATGTCAGTGAACTTCTTGTACTGTCTCATAAAGTCCTTTGGTTTATTTTGGTCTTTAAATAGATCTTTTACCCATGCATGATTGTCTACCTTCAAGCATTGGTTATTTTAAAAATACATGTATTTTTTGTTTACTGACTGACTGAGACTTTCCATTTGTCACATTTCATATGCTGTGTCAAAAAGTTACATTAATTAAAATCGCACCAGTCTCATTGGAAAAGTCTTTAAGTGCTGTAAATCTGTTAAGGTTGCAGTGATTAATATCAGATTTCCTAAATTTTAGTTTTTCCCCATTGGAAGCTGAAATTTACCATCCCACTTGGAAGCTTGAACATATTGAATTTTTGAGTTGATGAGTTTATTCATTCACTTGCTGAGACAATGAAACATCTAAGTAAATAGTTTGCATCTGATCATCTGAAAATAGTATTACTTTAAGAAGGTAATGACACTTATAAAGCCAACTATAAAAAGAATTGTGAAATCCATAAATATAAAAACAGTAGAAGGAAAATATAACAAAATATTCAGTGATTATTGTGCTTAGAAAAAAGGGTGACTTTTTTTCCATAATGGATAAGTTTTATTATATTTGTTACATAGTCAAAATTAAAGTGTCATAAAGTATTTTATTTATAGAATTACTTACACAGAGTCAAATGAATGTGAATATTTAAAAAAATGTTATTTCTCTAATTTTCTTGGTAGGATTTAGGTCCTGAATATGAAGATGTATTTAACACCTCATTGCAGTGGATTTTAGAAAATGGGAAAAATGTTGGAATAAGGTAACGGATTTGATTTGGAGTTTGATGATTTTGTATTGTAAGGCGTGACTTTTTGACTTTAAACTCTACCTCAATTATTTTTAAATAGGTGTGTTGGTTATGGGCCTCAGGAAGAATTGAGAAATATAACTGATGTGCAGTTTTTACAATCCACAAGACCACAGATGTCATTTTGGTGTCGTTTTCGACGTGCTTTTATTACTGTAACCCACAGATTATTATTGTTATGCTTAGGTAAGTGGTTAGGATGAGAAAGGTGATACTTTGTGGTTGAGAAGTTTTACGTGTCTGTATTTTACTAAGTGCCACACCTGAAAATCTACTCACTTCTATGATGGATGTCATATAAACACATCCAGAAGTCGTCACTAAAGTTGAGGATTCATTTTAATGTCAATATTAGTGTAAGGGCTTAGAAAACAGTAATATAAAGAGAGGCAGGTACAATACTTCGTTATAAGAATGTCATGGAAAGAGCAAGTATATTTAGCGTGTGAATAGAAACCTACTTTAGAGGTCAGGTGTGGTGGTACAAGCCTGTAATCCCGCACCTGGGAGGCTGAGGCAGGAGGATTACCATGAGTTTGAGGCCAGTCTGATGACATAGTTCAAAGCCAGCCTTGAAGACATAGTAAAACCCTATCCAAAAAAATAAATAAAAAAAAGAAATCTATAGTACTTTGGAAAAATAGAAACATTAAGCTTATTTTTAAATAAAATATTATAAATTAAGCTCATTAAAATTACTTTTAAGCAATATCACTTGTGAGAATGAAAATTTCTACTCGTTAGTAGATTTTATAAATTTTTGATTGATGATTGGAATTAAGAGATGTTTATTCCTTTTTTCTTGTGTAATCCTTTAAAATTACTTAATTTACATAGATTTTAGTACGTTTAGTCTAGTAAAATTCACTTTTCTAGTGGTTTAATGCTACATAAAATCTGAAACAGTAAATAGGTAGTCAGATTTTAAATGTTCAATTGCCCATGTGTGGAAGAATGTGTTTTCTAGAGAGAAGTGAAAGTCTGGAAAACATTGACTATTAAATGTTTTATATAGTTTTATTTAATTATATGGTTGGTTCAGCCGTATATCTTGTTCCATTAGGGCAATTAAGATAGTCATTGTAGAAACTGTTTGCAGTGTTACTGAATACCATTCACGCACAGTTTTTAAAAATACAAATGCTATACGTATTGCAGGTGTAGTGATGGTTTGTGTCGTTCTGCGTTACATGAAATACCGTTGGACAAAAGAAGAGGAGGAAACAAGACAGATGTATGATATGGTAGTAAAGATTATAGGTATGGTATCTATAAAACATCTCTATTATTTTCAGAACAGTCATTACATAGTAAACGTCAACACAATACGAAGTGACTGATTGATTAGTAGAGTTGTTTGATTTTTTTTTTTTCAGATGTTTTACGAAGTCATAATGAAGCTTGCCAGGAAAATAAAGATTTACAACCTTACATGCCCATTCCTCATGTGCGAGACTCCTTAATACAGCCCCATGACAGGTGTGCTCAAACACTGTGACCTGAATTAAATTGGAATGTAGTCTTCTGTAATGTTGAAAATTACATGGAGCCAGCAAGGTGGTGCACGCCTGTGATCCCAGCACTTTGGAGGTTGAGGAGGAGGATCACCATAAGTTTGAGGCCAGCCTGAACTACAGAGTGAGACTCTGTCTTAAAACAAAGTAAAACAAAATTATATTGAAAGTGGTGACAGTTTTACTATACAGGCTTTAAAAATACTCCGGGAGTAGTAATAAGAACAGAATTAACATCAGTCCTTACTTCATTTACTGTCATTTCAAAAAAACAATAAGCCAAGACAATAATAAAATTGTCATTTTATCCACATAATAGGAAAAAAATGAAGAAAGTCTGGGATAGAGCTGTTGACTTCCTTGCTGCCAACGAGTCTAGAGTTCGCACGGAAACACGAAGAATAGGAGGTGCGGATTTTCTAGTTTGGAGGTGGATCCAGCCCTCTGCATCCTGTGATAAAATATTAGTAATTCCTTCTAAAGTATGGCAAGGCCAAGGTATGCATTTTTAACCCGCCCTCCCCAATGATTTTACTCTTTAATTTTTCAGAGGAACAGTATATGTTTGAGTGAAACAGTCTATTCGAACGTATGTGAAGGCAAAGCTCCCTTTACACTTCCATCCTGTAGAGGGAGTCAGTGTTAGCTTCTTCTGTATACTTCCATACTTTTTCCTTGCTAATGCAAACATAAATGGTTTGTCTTTACTAGAATAAAGACAAACATTCTTTTTTGGGGGTGTACCAGGAATTGAACTCATGACCTCAGGCTTGCCAGGCAGGCGCTTATGCCACTGAGCTGCATCCCCAGCCTGACAAACATTCTTTTGATCTTGTCCTTTACACTTAACAAAAGCAACTTACTTTATAGCTCTAACGTATTTTTTTATGTAATTACCCCATGCAAATAAGACAGCAGTTTTAGATGTATATGTAACACGTGCACATACGTAGCGTGTGTGCATGGGAACGGCTTTATAAATCTCTAGGTTTTGCTTGCCGCCCTCTTCATTTTCACTAAGACCCCTCCTCTTGCACACCGCCCTCCCAGATACCTTTTATGTGTGTCTTTCCATAGTTTTCTTAATGTCCACATAGTTTCAAAAGCAGATTGGGAGTTTTGAAGATTAGCTGCCTAGGTACCCAAACTGCTACTACACAAGAAAGCAGAAAATAGTGTATAAGAAAATGATGAGTGGTCTGGTTGTTTCTTTTCTACAAAAGCATTTTTATCAGTGTTTGCTAAACGTAGCAGTCATAGGAAAGGTAAATAAATTGTTTTTGAATTGCAGTTTAAAAGATCCACTCCCTTTTTTCTCCAATTAATTTCACGCTTAGAAAGCTTGAATAATAAGCTTCCATAATCATGGCATTAAAGTGATGCTTTGGGGGCTGGGGATTTAGCTCAGTGGCATAGCGCCTGCCTGGCAAGTGCGAGATCGAGAGTTCGATTCCCGGCACCGGGGAAAAAAAACAAAAATGCTTTGGTGTTGCCAAAAACTATACTGCACACTTACTTCCTTGAAAATGTGCATGCAGAAGTGGCCCATGAAATTAAAAACAGATAATTCCTTAATTTACTTGACCTCTTACCAGTGTTTAGCAATTGATAGCTTCTTGAAACTCATCTTTGGACTTTAGGGATACCACATTTTCCTCCTACCTTTGATCTATTCTGTGTTTCCTTTTAGATTTCCCTTTTTTCTTTGCCCTGTAGATCTTGGAGTTTCTTAAGGTCATCTTCTCATGCTGTCTTCTCTCAAGTTATTTCAAACTATGACTTTGTACCATATATGTTCACTTCTAACCTTACCCCTTTCAGTAAGTCTGTTGTTAATGGTTTTCAGATTTTCGTACCCCATCATCTGCTCAACTTTTTTCTCTAGAGTTGTGGCACCACAAATTGAACAGCTCAATAGCATCTCTTTCCAAAGTGAGCTTTCCAGTACTTCTACTCTAGGTAGTAGTACCGTTCCTTAGTTGTTCCCGCCATAAACCTTGGAGTCATCGTTACTCCTTCCCTTATTCCTCTTTGTCCAGTCTTTTAATAGGTCTTGCCAGATCTGCTCCCTAATACGTCCTGATTCCGTCCATTTTCCATCTGTGCTTTTGACGTGGCCTATCCACATCGCTGTCACCTCCCTCTTAGGTAACTGAAATAACCTATGTCGCTGGTTTTCTTCAGTTAGCTTTGCATCTCTCTAATTGATTCTCTGCATGAAAATCTTTCGTAGAATTACAATTTTAAAAGCATATCTTGTCATATTTCTCTACTTAAAACACTTGAGTGCTATTTCTTTGATAACAGTGTGAAATGCTTTCATGTGGCTTATGAAGTACTGAATAACTTGACATCTTCTTCTCCGGGTTTATCTTTTTATCCTTCCCACCTTAGCCACATTGGTTCACTTTTAGTTACTGGAATATACCATGGTCCTTCTTGTCATATGGGCTATATACAAGTTGTCATCTCTTCTTGAAATGTCCTTTTCAGTTTTTCATACTAATTTTTACTTACTTTTCAGTTCTCAGCATAAATTTTTCTTCGGGAAATCTCAGATCAGGTGAAGTTACTTTTACATACAGCTTTCTAAACTATTCTTTTTTAGGGTTTTATTTAGCACAACTCTAGTGTCTTGAGTGGTACCACTTAGCACTTGCTTCTCCGACTGAACTGTAAGCTGTATGACAGAAATGACCTAATAAACCTTAACGTCTAGCATAGAGGTCTGGCTCACAATAAATGTATGCAGTGGTGCTGAGTGTGGTGGCACATGCCTATAATTCTGGCGTTCTGGGAGGTGAGGTAGGAGGATTAATGTGCAGGCCCAGCCTGGCTGACTTAGTGAAACACTTTGTCTCAAATACTGTTTTTAAATGGAGGGAGGGGCTTGTGATAGAGCTCAGTTGAAGACCTCGGCTTCAGTCCCTTATTCCAAAAAAGAAAGTGTGCAGTAAATATATTTTGAGTGAACTAAATGACTATCTTTCATCAAAATGGAATAGTGGCAAAAAGTAAAACTAATTTGTTTTTTTATAGCATTTCATTTAGATAGAAGAAATTCACCACCAAATAGTTTGACACCATGTTTAAAGATTCGAAATATGTTTGATCCAGTTATGTAAGTATTATACTCAGGCATATTTATAACTTTTATTTACACTATTTGGCTGAAAAATGCATGCATTCTAATAATGCTGTGGCTGTAATTGAAAATCTGTATTCCTGTTGAATTCTTTTCTTTCGTTAAATTCTAAGCAAAAGTTTAACCAAAAGACACAGATGTGCAGATTTATAAAACTTTTCATTGTGAATCCTCATAGCATATAAAGGCTTGGGGCAGATTAATGACACATAGTAACAAACAGTACACTTTATTAAATTTTAAACATAACTCATCATTTTTGTCTTTATACACAATAGAAGTAAAAATGTGTGCCTAAAACCAGAAATTCCATTTGAACCAGCTATTCTTCTTCTGGGTATTTTATATACCATGTTAGAGTGATAAGTCAGATCTTGGAAACAGTCTGTATGACCGTGAACAGATAAATGGATAAAGAAAATGTGCTATTTACACACAGTGTGTTACGTACATGTACCAGCTCCGCAAAAGAAATGTAATCATGTGCTATAGACATGTACTAATAAAAAATAAATGCATACATATATACAGCCAGCCATGGCACCTTCAAAAATTTCTAGTTTCTAATTGTAAAAAGATTTCCTGCAGAGAGGTACACATCCTCCTCTGTATAGGTCATAACTTTACTTGTGAATGTAATATTTGACTGTTTCTCCCTTTTAGAATTATTGCAAAAACAGCTAGACAATGATGCAGCCAAAAGGTACAGCTTTAGAATCCCTACTTCACATTAGACTGTGGAATAGTCTTTAGAGTTAGCTTAGCTGTCTACTGATACGACAGATGAAGTCCCTTTTTAAAATAATCCCTGACAGTAGAAATTTCATTGCACATAAAACAGCCTTAGATGTCATCTAATAATTTATTTCAGAAGCTACTATGAATGACAACTGACACAGACTTGGAAATGTAGGGAAGCACAGTCAGGACACACACATACACTGTGTTTGCAGAGCTGCTGCAGTGTCATGAAAGCTTCACAGAGAGTTACCTCATGCTTTGGTAATTAGGGAAAAACGCCTCTGTAGTAGTTTATTACCTAACATGAAAATTCGGGAGTTAAAGTCAGATTGCTTTTCCTTCTGCCTTACTATGTTTGAAGAACGTGCATTACGGTAGCATAAAATCTGAAAGCTCTTGTTATTGTGATTGTGCAAAATACTTGTCCTATGTCACTTGCTCTCATTGTTTGGGAATAGTGAAGCTCAGATTTTAGTATTTGTTAAGGATATTCTTAATATTAAAAATTTGGAAATGTCACAAAATAAAATAATGTTCAACTTTTGAAACAGTAATGAGATAACACTAGTCTCCAGAAAAAAAAGAAACAACTTTACAAGTCCATAGGATTTAAACATAATGATGACTCAGCTCATTTGTTCTGCTGTGATGTGAGACAAGACTTGTAACTGAGTAGAAATATAATTGCTGGTTTCTTTTAATTAATTTTTAGGGAAATAGGGGATCAGTGGCATTTGGCAATTCAAGAAGCAATTTTAGAAAAATGCAGTGATAATGATGGCATTGTTCACATTGCAGTAGACAAAAATTCTCGTGAGGTAAAGTAATTTCTAGTATTTTATTCCATGTTTTGGATTTATTGCTATTAAACTAAGACTATTTCTTTCTTTTTTTGTGCTATAGGGTTGTGTATATGTTAAATGTCTGTCTCCAGAATATGCTGGAAAGGCTTTCAAGGCTTTACATGGCTCTTGGTTTGATGGTAAGTTACTTGAGTATTATGGACATCTTGAAAAGATAATTATGGTTTAGTGCTAAATAGAGGATTTAATTTGAAGAATTTGAAGTTAGTGTTTTTCAAATAATAATCTTAGGTGATTTTTTTTGTATGTGGTTAGGTATACATACCAGTTAGTTTTCTACAAATTGATTAAACATGTTTTTGCACATTTAAAATACTATTTTTATCTTACAACAGGGAAATTGGTTACAGTAAAATATTTACGACTAGATAGATACCACCATCGCTTTCCCCAAGCTCTTACTTGCAACACTCCCTTGAAGCCATCAAATAAACACATGAACTCTATGTCTCATCTTCGCCTTCGGACGGGCCTAGCCAGTTCTCAAGGAAGTTCCTGAAAAGACGCTCGTCACTCCTAGGACTGTTATTTACAGTGGGAAAATTCCTGTTTCGCTTCCTGTCTTCCTTTCTAAATGCTTTTTGTATGTAATATTTTTATTGCTCAGTACAGCTCTGTTTGAGAGTTCCAGAAATCTTAAGGTTCCAAAGGGATTTAACAGCGAGGCAGCAATACTAAGTAGGTAGAATAATTATTTCATTCAGTTTTTGGAGCTCAGTTAAGCCAGTGCATTTAAAGTTTTGCATGGGGAACACTGACTTTATACACATTTTCGGATACGGTGGTTATATTTTTGCACCAAGAAAGTGCTTGGGTAACCACACAAAAGCATGGTGAAGAGACTTCTTGTATTTCCATAATTTCTTGTGAGCTAATGTGAATTTTTATATACAGTCATCTGCATAGTTCCTTACAGGCTAATGTGGTAATACTGTTAATTGCCAATTTAATCTTAGGTTTTTATTGCTTGTAAGAGATTCATTTACTACAGCTGGAAAATGGGAAAGCTTACTTGGTTTTAATGGCTACATATATGTGTAAGTGGATGTACATGTACTTAAACTGGCTTTTGTATATATGTATAAATGCTGGTTGTGGTGAAAGTAGTCTTGTTTTGTGAGGATGTCTGCATAAGCAGTAAAATAAGCTTTCTATTTTATTCATAATTTGTATATATGTGTGTATATATATGAATATGTGTATATATGTGTATACACACATACATATACACATACATATAGCTATACTATTACATAGATTAAACAACTGAACACCTGGAAGTATTAGATAAGAGCTTAAAATATCTTTTATAGATTTTTATATTAAAACATCTGAGTATGATTTTGTGTGAAAGTTCTGACACCAGTTGTAGTAGATTCAGATTTATGTGAGCAATAAAGGAACAATTGGCAGATATTGGAAATATTTTGTGAAAAGCTGTATTTATTAATACTAGGGCTGTGACATAGTGCTGTTGGGATTAAGTGATTTTCTCAGTCTATTTATAATTTAAAGAAATATTATCATCCTGTTACATGTCAAGTTTAAAGCAGGGCACGTTGTTCCAGCAAAGTGTATTAGACAAATTATAATTGTAATTTTGGGTCATGAAAGTCTGCAATATAGTAAATGCACGAATGACCATTGGTTTGTGCCTCAGTATTTAATTTGTTCTAAGAAAGTTACTTTATTATTGTTTATGATTTCAGATTAAAATAGTTGCTGAGCAAGGTTTACTTGTTACCTTAGCAACTGGCTTTAAAAAAAATAACCAGTTAATATATCATTGTCAGTTCAAATGAGTATGTGAAACAGCTGGAATTGTACCCATTTTGACTTTGTTTAACCTTTAGTTGCCTTTTTTGTTTTATTGTACGTGTTGGGTTTGCAGCATGAACTTGCACAGATACTGCACGTGTTCTGGTTAAGTAAACATGATGCACACTCTTCTCTAACAGAAAACCCTACTGTGCCTTACTGTGTGCTTTTGTGGGCACCATGTTTATGAAGAATAAAAACGACTTGTTATCTGAAGAGAATAAATTTTAAAATCTCAGTTTATGTCTCATGCTAATGTGTGAAAATATAAATATATATAATATATAAAGTAACCGATCTTTCTGTATTTTATGTGCATCATAGTGATTTATCTGAGCTTAGTGATCGCCACCTTGTAACCTGTTGCAAGAGTGAATGTAAAAAATAGTTGTGACATTTTAACAGGTCGCCTTTTGATGCAGATGCATCGTTTTCTTGCTTCTGAAACATATTTCATGTAAACATTGTACATTTATTATTGTAAAATATACTATTATGCAGCTTATTTTACCTGAAACTGTTAAGCCGACCAAGATTCCTCCCTGCAAGACAGATGGGAATGTGTATAATAATTAGATATTTGAGAAGTTCTGAAGTTTGATGTAATCTGTTACTTGTCCTGTTTAAAAAAAGGAAAACATTCTAATTAAAAATTTATTAGGTTTTTTAAAATGTCTTCGCCTCTAAGAATTTTTTTGATTCGTGTGTGTGTGTGTGTGTGTGTGTGTGTTGTCGTCTGTCTTTGGGCTGGCCTGCCTCCTGCTGGTCTCCCTACTGCTTTCCAGCTGGCCCTCTCGCTCCCTCCTTTTCCTTCCCTTCCTGTCTTCCCTGTCTTCTTTCCTTTCCTTTTCTCTCTGTCTCTGTCTGTCTCTTTTCTTTCTTACAATGAAAATAGGTATCTTTATTTAATTTATTTATTTTTTGGTCCCTTTCTTTTAAATCAACTTCATTTGGAGATTTATGTGTGCATGTGTGTGTACTTATAAAGATGACGACCTAAAGTTAGATTTAAATCACCTGTTCTTTAATAGCTTGGCTTTTTTAATATGTTTTCATTCAGCTTGTAGATGTTTGGATCAAAGTGGGGCAAGAATATAATTCAGCTGCATTACTAAGCACTATTTAGTTCAACTACACTCACAGACTTTCGTAAAAAAGAAACAGTTCTTTTACACATTCTGGCTCAAACTCTTTATCTCATAAAACAGTAACAAACAGTTCTTAGGTTAACTACTTTGAAAAGCCTTAGTTTAGATTTTTGATGTTTTAATCAAGTAAAAAGACTTGATTCATTAGTCACTGTAAACTAAGTTGCTAACAAATACTGGCTTAGGGATGCAAAGATGAAAAACACATAGCCCCGAACACAGGGCAAAAAAATAGAAGGAATTCTGGAAGTATAGAGAAGATACCCTAGTAGAGAAGATACCAGGACAGGTAAGCTAACAGCCAAACCATATTTTAATTCATTTTTACATCTGTTAAGCAGCTCTTAATTTATATAATTAAGATTGATAAAAGTCTCTTTTTCCTTGAGTTCTCAGGGGAGAGCTTCAGTTCTTATGACAAGATGATAAAGGTTCATGTATGAATACTGTGCCATTATAAAATGTATATTCTTGATGATACATAGATTCCTGAATAGCCTGTGAATATTGAAATGTTATTGTAGATTGTGTAATAGCTTGTGAATATGGAAATCTGTTATTGTAGTTTTATATTTTTCTTTTCATTGTACTCACAGTTTGACAAGTTAGGATTTCTAAGTGAACAGTATTTGGATGTGTGATGTGCTCAGAACATCCTCTTTGGTAACTATCATACATACAAAAGCATAAAACATGAGAATTATACTAAATTAAGGTACACTTTTAGATACATTGTTTATGCTGGATTACAGTAACTTTTTTTTCTTCTGTTCCCTGTTTTTTATTTTGTGCTTTATATACTGAATTTCTCATATAAGGGAGAAACCATGCAATTTTTAAGTTTGTGATCCAGTTTGCTTAACATTATGGCCTTAAGGTGCATGAATTTCTCCTATGAGTGACTCGTTTTTTTTTTTCTTGATGGCAGAGTAGTACTTCTTTGTATATAAATACTACATTTTCTTTATCCATTCCTGTGTTGATGGACATATAGGCTGCTTCCGAGATTTAGCTATTATCAGTTGTGCTACTACAAACATGGATATGCATGTATCACTGTGGCATGATGTCTAACTTTTGGGAAGATACCTAGAAGGACAAACGTTAGGTTGAATGGAATTTCTGTTAGTGTTTTGAGGAGTCTCCATACTGATTTCCATAATGTTTGTACCAGTTTATACTCCCACCAACAATGAGCAGAGGCCTCTCCCCCAGAGCTGCACCAGCACTTGTTATTATTTGCTTTCTTGATGATGGCCGTTTTTTATGGAGTGAGATAGAATCTCACTGTTATTTTAATTTGCATTTCTCAAATGACCAGCAGTGTTGAACATTGTTTCATGTATTTATTGGCCAGCTGTATTTCTTCATCTTAGAAGTGTCTATTCATTTAAGATGCCCAGTTTTTGATTGCGTCTTTAAATTTGGGAGTTCTTTTTTTTTTTTTCCCTGAGGAGTAGCTAGCAAAATCTTCCCATCCTGTAGATTGTCTCTTCACTCTGTTGGTGCTTTCCATTCCTATGCGGAAGCTTCTTAATTTCATGTGATCCCATTTACCGATTCTTGGTATCAGTTCTTGTCCAACCAGAGTTCTGTTAAGAAAGTCTTTGCCTTTACTTTTATGTTCAAGACTTTTATCTGTTTTGTCTTTCAGCAGATTGTTTCTGTTTTAATATTTATATTTTTGATCCAGTTTGATTTTAGTTTGTGCATAGTGAGAGATACGGGTCTGCTTTCAATCTTTAGCATGTGGATAACCAATTTTTATAGCACCATTTGTTAAAGAGGCTATTTTTCCTCTAGCAAAAGGATTTGGCCCTTTGTCAAAGTAACATAGTTGAGTATGCCTGGTGTTGTTTTTGCATCCTCTGTAGTACTGCACTAATCTACAGTTCTGTATTTTGGGCCAGTACCATGCTGTTTTTATTACTGTACCTTTCTGGTATTACTTAAAATCTTGGATTGTGACGTGCCCTGCCTTGCCCTTTTGTCCGCAATTGCTTTTGCTCTTCTAGGTCTCTTAGGGTTTTCAGAATAAATTTTAAGATTGCTTTCTCTAGTTTTATGAGAAATTTATTGATATTTTGATTGGGACTCTGTTAAATCTGTATTATAATTTTAGAAGTATGGCCATTTTTACTATGTTGGTCCTGCCTATCCAGGATCAGTACTTTCCAGAGTACTATGGTTTTCACCAAAGAGGGCTTCCACTTCCTTAAGTAGGTGAATTTCTTCCATAATTAGGTTAATTTTCTGCATTTTTCTTGATTCCACTGTGAAAAGTATTATTTCCCTAATTTCTCTCTCAGTGAATTTGTTATTGGTGTACAGGAAAGCTATTGATTTTTGATTTTGACTTTGTATCCTGTTGTGCTACTGAATTTTTATATTCTCAAAATTTTTTGGTAAATTTTTGGAGTCTTCCATGTAGAGAATCATGTCATCTTCAAATCATAATTTAACTTACTCCTTTTCTATCCATATGCCTTTTATTTTCTTTCTCTTGTCTAATTGCCCTGACTCATGTTTCGAGAACTGTATTGAACAGGAGTGACGACAGTGGTCATTCTAATCTTATTCTTGATTTTTGAAAGAAAAATCAGCTTCTCTCCATTTAGTGTGATGATCATTAGTTTCTCTTAGGTGGCTTGTACTAGATTGAGATAAAAAACCTTTTCCTGTTTTCTTCAGGTTTTTATCATGAACAGATGTTAGATTTTGTTAAATGCTGAGCCTGTTGAGATGATCATGTGATTTTCGTTCTTCTCTTTATGTGGGTGTATTACATTTGTTGATTTATTTGTGTGCTGAACCATTCCTGCATTCCTGGAATGAATCCTACTTGGTGATAATATATGATCTTTTTGGTGATTTACCAGTATTCTGTTTGCCAGTATCATAGAGAATGTTCATTAAGGAGAATGACTTGTAGTTCTCGTTTTGGTTGGGTCCTTCTCTGGTTTTAGAATCAGAGGAATGCTTGTTTCTGGGAATAACTGGGAGACTGCTTCCTCTGTTATTTCAAATAATTTAGGTATGTGGCTTATGCTAGTCTGCTGCTTGGTACTTCTGCATTGGTTTCTAGAGAGAAGTTTTGGGAAGCATTTTGTTGCTTTGTCTTCCCATGTTTCTATTCTTTGGTGCTGAGGTTTGTGGATGCTTATGTTCAAAAGACTTTGTTGCTAGCATAGAGATCTCTTTAGTTGTTTTTCAGTGGTGTACTTCGGGCATGTCTATCTGTAATCCTTTGCCATAGCCCTAGGGTCTGACTACCGTGGTTAATTTAGGCAGAGAAGGTGCAGTGCAGTTAGCCCAACAAGCAAGTTCTCTGGGAATGTACTCTAGGGTTGTTAATATCACAAAGGTAATCTGTGGGTTGGCTTACAGAGAAATAGCAACAGTTATGTGACCTCGTTAATATCAAGCAAGTCAGGTACAGTGTTATTGTCCAAGAGAAATTGCATATGAACATTATATGAGAAACAATTATAAAACTGGATGTGGTGTTGCATGCCTATAATCTCAGCACTAAGGAGGCTGAGGCAGGAGGATCATCACAAATTTCAGGCCAGCCTGGCATACAAAGCAAAACCCTGTCTCAAAAAAAAGAATTCACAGTTACTGTGTAAATGTTAAGACAGCGCAGGTATTAACTTATTGTGACAGCTAATAGTGGAAAAGAATACAACAGTAATTTTATACTTAACTATCAAAAGATTCATAAATCTCTGGCTGTACAGTTTTTAATATAGTGTGTGGGAGTAGGGGAACTCAAGGGGAAGACTTTGAAACCTTAAACTCTGGTAGGAGGAGGAGGAGGAGAGAGTGGCACAAAGTATCCTGTTGGGGAGCAGAGGGATGTTTTTGTAATTAGGTCAGGGTGAGGAAAAAGCCTGGCAAGAAATAGAAGATGAAAGGAGGGAGGAAAAAGAAAGAAATTACATGAAGAGTAAAAGTGAGAAGAAAATTAAGGAAAAGAAACAAGGAAAAGAAAAATTCTCCAAGCCCCAGTAAACTAGTGAAGAGAAAGAGGAGGAAAAGAAAAAACAAACTAAAGGCAGTGCACACAATAAAACAAAGATTTGAGATTTCAAGTGTGTGGTTTTCTTCTGGGATCTACAGTTTGGGGGCCCTGTCCAAGTCAAGGACATGGCCTGCTCCTGCTGATAGAGCAGGCAGGCAGACCCCATGTCTGTGATAAATGCGGGCACCAGCAGGCGGCAGGACTAGTGTGAAGGTGCCAGTTCCAGAGCGTTTCTGGCTGTGGGGTGGGGCCCTGTGTCCTTCGGTGTAAGTCCCTCACAGGTCTCTTGTCCGCCTGGCCCGGGGGTTGTCTACCGTGGCTGTCCGTCACCCGGTGGGTGTGGGAATGGAACACTTGGAGCCTGATATGAGGCTGCCCGGCTTCAAATAACCCCTTCGTGGGATCGCATCTGAGCGCACTCTCCTCTCTCCAGGGGTGTGGTGGGCGGTTGGCCTAGTGTCATTGGCCCCGCTGTTGCAGCTCCCTGCATCCACTGGCCTGT